CTCTAGATAATGTGCATTGACATAGTCTGCACCAATCAGCATGTGTATTTCATCTGATGTCCCTTGCCGAGGCTTGTCACTCAGCTCTACTCCCCAACTGTGCCACTGAGCAATGGTCTTCAGACTTGCGCACTTCAGATCTACCTCTAGCGTTGGTTTCACGAACGTGCGGACCGGAATGCTAGCGGGGCTAACCTGGATTGTGATGGCGTACTTATCCATGCGCTGTTGAGTTGATTCCGCGCCGAACGGCTTCACCTCTACATTTTCAACACCAACGTGTTCTGCATCGATTGCTGACACCAACGCTGCAGTTACAAATGACGCCTCAGCACCTGAGTCCAGGAATACGCGAACCTTCGCCGTTCGAATTCTTCCCTCAACTCGTGCTACTCCGGTCATCAGCCGCACACTTGCTGAGTGTAGACAGCATGATCCAGCCTTCCTCTCCGTTACTATCTCAGTCGGTTTCTATCGGCTGTAACCTGCTCCATCCAACACATCATGTATTAGCAGATGGTGCTTCCTCTGGCACTTCATGCACTTCGATCCTGACTGACATTCCCTTGCCATATGGCCATACTTGAGGCAGTTCCAGCAGAGTCTCTCTCGCTGCAGAAAAACCTTTCTCCCTTCCTTTGGCAGCGACTTCAACTGCTTCTATGCGTCTGCGACCGATATTGTCATGCACTGCGCCGACGCCGTGGGCCTTGGAACTGATTGTTCCACTGGCTTCTTGGCAGTATCACCCTGTCGTCCGTGCGTGACCTGGTAAGACGCGCCGTTATCCAGAACCTGACGCAGAGATAACCCGTAGCACTGCCGTTCGATCAGGTACATCTTCATCTCAGGTCCGCATTGATCCAAGATCAACTGCTTTGCAATTGCTTGCAGCACAGGGGCCATATTACCTATATCGGCGCTATACTTGGTGTCCACCTCACTATCTTCCGTTGTAGCGAATGTGGCCCACACCTCTACCTCTCAGCAAACACGGACAACGTATTGGTGAAAGGACTCCTCTGACCGCTGCTTGCCTGTAAGCAACGTCTTCCACGCTTTGTCTGGCATCTTTCCAAGCGAGGCAAGCAACTCTCGCTTTGCTTCCTCGTAGTTATTGCAGGCAATGCAGATCCTCTTTGCTGTGCTACCCGCTAGCGCGATACGCAATCGCAGCAGCCATTCTCTTTCTTCGAACTCGTTCTTTGAACAGATGTTCTCGAACAGGTCGATATAACGCTCCAGTGGCTGCGTTCCATCATATGAGGGGATTTTCATCAACGGTTTGCGCCCACTGCTGTGACTGGGAGCTTCCGCTGTACCTCCCATTGCACTCTCACTGGTGGCTACATCAAGACCATCATACGCATTGGCGATGTGCTCGTTAATCTCCTTGAGCTTTTTGTGAAACTCGGCCGCCTTTTCTTACCGCCTGGCATTGCGCTCCTCACGCTCCTCGTACTGTCGGAGCCTTTGCTCCACATGTTTCACCAATTTCTCGCCTTCCAATCCTTACCGAATTCCATTGACGATAAAGCTGGCTTCCAAATTATGTAGTTCCTCTGCCATGCTCACTTTTTACCTGGCGTGGTCCCCAAATGTTGTGAACCCTTGTGATTCTCTAAATTGTCAGGATCGAATGACCACACAGCACGAGCACAACTATTGAATCCTAACGGTATATTTCACTCCAATCGAATATAAAAACTACTTCGAAGGAACTCTAAGATCACCAGCTAGTTATAGCGTGAAAATGACAGTGTATATCAGAAAAGCATACACATCCAACACCCAACTACAGCGCACACAGCAAATCGCACATAGTGCATGTAGCGTATACCACGCCGTAAACATCAGTGGTGCGGCGGAGTCGAGATGCAACTGCATTGAACCGAACACATTGTCACAATCGCGAAGGCCTTTCACACTTGACAACTTGTGGTTTCATAAGGTGCCCGGATAAGAGACGTCCCAGTGTACTGCTTTGGGGTCACTTTCTTACACTTGTGCACATGACATGTTTGCTTGGCAGGTACTTTCGTATGTCGACATTGGGGAAGAGGCTGTTTGCAGTGCAGGAAACTTAGTTTGGTGGCGCTGACCATGTATCAGTACATTTCTGAATTCCAGAAATAATTTCGATCATTTTAACATACTGCATGTGGGTTGTATTGGGGGGGGGGGGCCGCAGAAGTAAGCTTTGCAAAAATAATGCATCGGATACTACATAATTTGTCCCACTCCCCGAGGGCCATGAATTGTCCAAGTTCCCCCTATACCTGACAAAAAATGTTCAGAAGGAAAGCACAAGAGAGTCAGGGCCGATCGCTTTTTTGCTTTGACCCAAACATTGGAGAGCTGCAAGGAACACAATCTAGGAATTCCAAGCACTGCCTCTGGAATTTCCAAGCCAGCTTAGGCCTGGTTGGAGAAGCGTTCTAGCAAGTCAGCGAGCAATCAAGAAAGCTAAGTGCAATCAAAAGAGGTATAGAGACTAAACCGCACTGGAGCTTGCGCTATTCCGCCGACTTTTGACTTGACACTTGACTGACTCACGACTGCCATCCGGAGCATACGAGAAGTGGGGAGCAAACCCTTTCTTTCAAGTCATCGCCGAAGTCGCAACCACTATTTTAGACAAAACCAAGTAGCAAAATGTGAGTTCCGCAGTACAGTCATAGCACTGCACAGCCTATACCAAGCACAGTTCCGGATAGTTCTAACATCCTGCAGTAGCAAGCTCGGTACTCGTGCGAGTCAGGGAGGGGCAGTCGAGCGAGTTGCATAAACATAGATACCCAGACACAAATGATGTGCTGAGAGTGTGAACCATAGTGCAATCGTATTCAGAAATCATAAACACACAATCAGGAAGCAGTTCTGTCATCAAAAGCTCCTTTTCGAGTTAAGTACTCTTGCCGTCATGCAAACACAAAACAAAAACTCTAATTTTAAATGCCAAGGTCAAAAGATGTGAATCTGAGTGAAGAAGAAACATTCGCTGCACTAAGGCTTAGTGGTGGCTTCAAGGAAGAGCAACGCCTATTAGTCAAACAACACTAGGACGGGTGTCTATACAATAGCAGACAGAAGGCAGTAGTATCGCCCGGTTGTAGAATCACAACACGTACACATAAATACCCTAACAAAACGACCTTATAGGTGAAATACGTGTCTTGGAGAGTCGTTTTAAGGCGCGATGGCCTGGCGCGCACCCCCCCCCCCCCCCCCCCCGCCCAACTCCCCCCCCCCCAAAATCAGGACACGCCAATGACCCCGGGTCATGATGCAGCCTAATTTTAGCTAGGTTGACCTTTGTGTCATCCAATGTCTAAAACTGTGTTCACAATTGGCATGTGCATTCCTGAAACAATTCCTTTGGGAGTGCTTTTGTTTCGTCTGGGGTGATATGGAGCTCGCACTTCCTGATGGCTGACTGCCTCACGTCTGCAATCTGAAGAATGTGGGAGGACCTGCACGTAATAACAACTTCCTGCTCAGTACAATGTGTTTCATCGAATTCATCCCTCAGCAGTTGAGCTTGAGTACGTCAATGAAATAATCGCCACTGCATTATGTTATTCCCAAGCTTGTTTGGCAGTGTCGATGCAAAAAGGCTCATAATGAAACTTCAGCCCCAGTCCGCGGGTACACACCCTGGTCTTCGGGCACACCTCCGCATACGCACATGCGCAGGTGCATGGGCACGCACACGCACACACACACACACACACACACACACACACACACGCATACACACATCCATGTGCACAAACATAATTGCAGACACTCCCACGCCCGTCTGCACGTACAATGAAGTACTTACGTGCACACTCACAACCAATTGACATATAGGCCAACAACTTACCCATGGAGGGTTAAAGCATACGGCTCAACCGAGGGCGCGTGATCATATCCCGGACGAGGGCGCATGATTATAGTCCAACCGAGGGCGCATGTGTGTTTTGTGATGAGTTTCTGCTTAAAATTGAATGTGCCATGGATATAATTATCCTGCTGCACTCCTGGCCCCTTCCATGAGCCTCTGGGATATTTCCTGCGGGCCCATATTTCCTTGATCCCGATCAGGAACTAGCTCACTGGCAAATTTCTCAGCATATCGAACTGTTGAACTTAGGCAAATGAGGATCACTTTTCTTCCTCTGCCAAAAGATTACATACGGTGTCTGAAGGTGCAATCGCACAACAATGAGCCTGTGGTTAAACGAGAGGGCACATCCGCCAAAGCTACGACTGTGAAGGAGAAGCTGCTTCTGGTCAAATTTACTCACCACGTTATGTGTTTTAGTACTACAAACGAAAGCAAGAGGATGTTCAACTCGGACGGTGAGCCAATTAAGATATGGGGAAAAAGGAGAAGGACAAAATGTTATGAGTTATGGCTAACTGTCTCAGTACTCCTAGTCAGTTTTGTGCCATTTTGTCGCACTCGCTGACTGTATAAGATCTGGTTCGTTGGTGGACAGTTAGTCATAACTCGTGGCATTTTGCCTTCTTCTTCTTTTGCAATAAGAGTATTATTTTTTTAATTAACTCAGAGTTTTACGCCCTGAGCGACCATCAGAAAACAGTGATGAGTCACTGTGGATACTGGTTTAGATGCCCACAAAGCAAAAAAGTGTAAATGACAGCAGTTGTGAAAGATTGCATTGTGGCATGACTTTGAAAGGTGTGAATGACAGCAGCGGTGGAAGATACTACTTCAAGTGACACACGCACTGCAGCTGGCAGTCTGCTACTTGTATTGGGTAATATACGGGACATTTCATGTCCCATAGTCATTCGCCTTGTCCTACTCATTCGGAATTGTGCAAATCCGAAGTAGAGGAGTAGGAGAGAGAACACAACTTCCTTCAACAGAACAAGGAAACATAATCTTACTGCATAAAACAGAAAACACTGACATAAGTTTCAATGCAATGAGCTCATAGTCTCAGGCCTGACCTACTGCATGATTTCTCTTTGTGTTCTTTTCCTAGGACATCATACATAGTTCCAAAACTGATCCTGACAATGCGAGTTTATATGAGAGCCATAAACGGGATACTTCTGTCCAATGTAAGTTCAGAGGGAGATAGGTGGCTCAGGCTGGGCACTCCATACTGCAAGGCCAAAGGCAGAAGGGATGTTTTGTGGCCAGCTAAAGAAATTGATTCTAAATCTGAAAATCTGAGAAAGATGGAGCTCAGCAGCATATCTTGCCCTTCGTGGCGCTTGAATAGGCAGCCAGAGCCACATCTCATTTTGGTTGAAGATGATCAAGGGGATGTGATTCTTGTGCGAAATGCGTCCCTGGACATGACAATTGATGCCTCACAGTCTTGAGATAGTGTCGACAAACAGTGCTGGCAACTGAAATCGGGCCCCCTGAGCGATGCGCTCACATTGCAAAGACTCGGCATGGGATTGTAACACTAGGAAATAGAGGCCGCTAGAAAGTGATCGCACGGCCCAGGGCGTCGGATTTCAGTTGCCACCGTTTTGATTCATGGATTGCCGTCAGATTGTGACGGACCCAAATCTTCCCTCATTTACTGAACATTCTGTGTACATATCCGGGTATCTAGTATCCACACGCCCATTGCTGTTATACACTTTACTAGACTTCTCACTGATCATCCAGACAAGGCATTCTCTTCCTGCGTGAGCAGAGGCTTACAATCTGGATTCTGCACAGGCTTCACGGGTCGCAGCCGGACTGTGACGGACCCAGATCTTTCCTCATTTACTGACCATTCTGTGTACATATCTGAGTACATAGCAACATGCAGGGAGAGACCTGCGGCCCTTATTCCATCCCTCCATTTCCACCATTCCAGTGCTCCGGCATTGGTGTGGTGCCCAAGAAGAAAGGTAAACTACGCATTATCCACCATTTATCAGCTCCCGTTGGCAAAAGCTTGAACGATGGCATTGATCAGTCCGCGTTTAGCCTGTCTTATATCCGGATTAACGACGCAGTGAAAACAGTCATGGCGTGTCGGCAGGGTGCATTGCTGACACAGCTGGACATCCACAATGCATTTTGCTCATCCCTGTGCACTTGCGCCACTGGTCACTTCTGGCTATGCAGTGGCAAGGACAATATAACTTTGATCGAGTGCTACCATTCAGGCTACGCTCCAGCTCACACAACGTAAACTCTACCACTCCCTGGGGAAACCCTCCATTGCATCAAGCGCCATTGCACCCAGCAGAGCATTTACAAGCCACTTATGGCATATCAATAGGAGGTTGGCCGAGCGCCAATGCTCTGTCTAGTGTCAATCTGCCGGTTTTCCATCAGCTAGCGCCATCGGCATGGCAAGCCCAGGACCCTGCAATCCACCTCCTGCTCTTGGACTGATGCCGCAGGTCGCCAACCTGGCCACCATGGCAATCACCCAGATAACGGGCTGCACGTACATCAGTTGCAATCGGAAATTTGCAATTCTGTGTGTTGCAGAGATGGACGCCCATGCCGGCTACAGCCACTGCAACCACGGACAGTTCATGTCTACATGGCCGCATTGCACGAGACACATCTCTAAGCCACTCCACAACCTTGCCCGGGTGCGCCATCCTGTCAAATTTGACTGCCTATCCATCTGACGTCAATGGCGCACTCTTCCGCTGCTAATCAGGCAGGCGCTGACAGAATAGCTCCTACAGCTTCTTACACACACAAGAACACCTCATTCGCGCGATTACGCTGGTCGTTCGTTCCGCATCGGTGCCGCCACAACTGCAGCCATGGCGAGTACCCCTGACTGGTTAATCAGGGCAATGGGCCGATGGTGGAGCAACAGTGTCCTGCGCTACATCAGGACAACTGACACAGACATGGCACAGCTGATCCAAAAGCTGTCCGAGGTACAGGTGCAACGCAGAACACAATGAGGTATTTAAAACCCGCCACGCCGGCACACAACTCACACCGATGTACCCACACCGAGTGTTCTGAACAGCATGGCAATTTGCTTTGCTTGGATTGTGCTGACAAACTGCGCTGATAGCAACAACAGGTACCATTCATGTGAGTTTCAATACGCCACAACTTGGCATGAAGGCCAGGCAACCATGGGCTAGCTATCCTCTCTCATCTGGTCATCTAACACGGTCTTCCGCCATCACACTCACACTCCCGCACTCCTGCCCCCTAGCGGTCATCGCACTAACCGTGATGGGCCATCCGCACTCCGGCCACTTCATGGGCTGCACTTCGTGCGTGGAATATCATACAGAGGATGCACTTGCCCTCGCAGTCAACAGATGGTCTCTAGCCAAATCTCGACGAGAGTACACCGGAGTTGTGTTCGTAGATATGTCGAAAGCGTTTGATGGCGTTCAGCACGAGCGTCTTCTGACTGAACTCTTCTCTCTTGGCATATCTGGTACTCCACTCACTTGGTTTGCTGATTACCTCTCAGGCCGCTTCCAGCAGATCAGAGTTCAAGGACATCTCTCTCCTGCCGTTTCTTGTTCTCGTGGTGTCCCACAGGGCAGCGTTCTTGGTCCCCTGCTATTTGTCTTGTACACTAGCACATTGAGCACGATCCTGCCACCGGCGGTAAACCACCAAAAATTTGCGGATGACATTACTCTCGACTGCTCAGACACCGACCCCACTGAAGTATGCCGAACCCTCAGCCACGCAATCACAAGCCTCGCCACGTGGCTAGAAGATATTGGTTTGCTGCTGAATGCAGCAAAAACTCAGCTTCTCTTCATAAAGCCCCGTGGCGCAGATGACACACAGCCTGAGGTGTTCTGCCATGCTGACAAACTTGCTATCACACCTTTGGCTAAGTATCTCGGGGTAATACTCGATGAGGAGCTGTCCTGGAAGCCCCACATTGCACACCTGAGCCGCAAGACTGCTAGGACCATTGGCCAGCTCTGGAGGCATGGCCAAGGACTCAGTTTGCGCGCCAGACGCACTTGGTTCCTCAGCATGGTCCTCTCTCAGCTATGCTATGGTTCGAATAGCTTTGTTCCTGGGCTTTCTGCCCAGTTGCTTGGACGTCTGGAGAAGAGTTTCAAAGCCGGCATTCGTGCAACCTTGCAACAGCGCTTTCTCACCCCCACCGCACCGCTTCTGGCACTTCTTAGTATAGTCAGCCTGGCACACACATACACTCAGAAAGTTCTAATCTTTGTACACCGCTGTATCAATGGATACTGTAGCCCACTCCTACAGCAACTCTTTACAACGACTGCTCCAAACACCGTGCTAAACGATCAGCGCATCACTAGGGGCCAAGTTTCCAACTTGCTCCAAGTCCCTTTCCTTCGCGGGCCAGCTGGTCGCTCGAGTATGATGTTTCACGGCAGTATTGCATGGAACGCCCTCTCGGCTGATGTAAGATCGATAACTGCTGCCGATCAATTCAAGAGAGCCCTATCTGATATTGACGTACTTAACTTGTAAACTCTATGCCAACAGTCCAACACCCCTCGCCGTACTTCATGTTCCCTGGACTGCTAAAAAGTGTCCCCATCCAACAAAGTCTGCCAATGTTCACGCATATATTCTCATGAAATGCTTCCACTACATTTTATTTGTTATCACATTATAAAAAGTTCACACAAATTGAGTGTCAGCATACACACAATGTCATAACAAACATTTCTATAATAATAATCATACCGCTTGCATGTCTTTATCTCTATACATTTCCTCATATAATTTTCTTCATCTTTCTGTGAGAACCAGACCTATAGGCCGGTAAGAAGGCAATCATGCCTGTGCAATTGGTGAAGTAAAATAAAAGTCAACAACAACATTCTATCGTATGAGCCATCTACACCTCACCCATTTCCAGGGCTGCACCTGGTGCGTGGACTACTGGGATCATACATACTATGATTATGTGTGAGATAAAAAAAGTCAAAGTTTGAGAATCACAATCAACAATACTAGCTGAATTGATATACCACAAATGCTATATGTAAAAATTTGGCTTGTGAGCATCACAGGGTCACACTCAATCACTGATTTTCACAAATTCATTCAAATTCACAAAAAAATATTGATGCCAGTAATGCTCATAGAAGGAATGAAAGTGGAAATGTATGTGTAGAACGATAAAAGGAAAGATGCAGAGAGATAAAGAATGTTTCGAACTAGGTTTGGCAAAACGTTCGTCAGGAAGCTTTTCTATACAGATGGTGAGAAATGACACCTAAACAATGCAAGAAACATAACAAGTTTGTGATCGGAAATCACGCCTGATTTTGGAGCTACTAGTAGGGAGATTTCGCTCCACGTAATTACGTATGAAAATCCGTATGTCGTACGCGCCGGGGAGCGAGGGCAACTTTCATACTTTTAAAAATCTCTCTACGAATTTCCGTAGGAAAGCTGTTTCCTACGTTGGGGCCTCCGTAGGACTTTTTGAAATATTTTTCGCATTTTTCGGATTTATCCATGGCAAAGTTCAAGCCGCGCGAAACACAAGGTACACACACCGTACACCACGTGCAAATAAGATGGAAAACGCGGTTTCGGTTCCTGGTGCATGCGGTGGGCGCATGCTGCCAATGCGTCTCCAAAGCAACACGGCATGTTTAGCAGTCGTGGAGAAATCACGTAGAGCGAAACCGAACAGCGCTGATGTTTACGTATGAAAATGACATGCTGTTCCTACGTTATTTTCATACGTAATTCCGTAGAGCAAAACTTCCCTAGTATCGAAGTTTGCTTGCCGCGTGCTACTACCCACAGTTGACTGGGAACTTGTGGCGGCTAATGGGGCTTCTCGGTACTTGTGCCAGTTGTTGTGAGCTTTATCCCCTCACCTCCACCGTTAGGAGCTGCATCTGCTGCTAGGGTTTACTGGGTGTTAGCGGCCGTCATGAGTTCCCTTCCGGAACAAAACCTATAATTTACTTTTAATCTAATTTCTCAGAGTTCCAAGGGAGGTTGATCCTTGGAGATTCTTGTGTTCAGGGCCCATGCATTGCATGCGAGCTACTGCGCAAAGCAGTTTTCTGATCATGGACGTTCAACATTCCCTATCCGCACACATATAGGATGTACTACAGTCCACGCAACCAAGATTGTTGCCCCTTTGGGGTGCTCCTAAATTATTCCAGTTTCTTCAACTTAGGTAGCTGTGTGTTGCTCCCCTACGTGGGAGCCCGCGCTATTCCCTCCCGACTTGAATTCTCTCTTGACTAACATACAGAGCACACGAGAGAGACTTCAACTTATACGATAAATGTCCCCAAAAAGCTAGAGGAAGAGGTTGGTGTGACTTTGGTGATTCCGTAAAGTACCTCCAGAGCGCCCCGTCTCGCGAGAGCGCCCCACCTTGATTTTACAGCCAAGGGAAGAAAATCGTATGGCAGAATGCTACTAAGTTTGTACGATTTGAGAACCTTCGTGTACTAAGGTCACACTTGGTATGCTTTTATGTGGAGCTTGAAGTTACACTGGGTATGGATTGACTGCACAATGTGCAATTTTTGTACAAGGTCCGTGTCGTATGACCTATAGACAGGAATCCACCTCCACAAGGCGGCCACGAAAGGACGAGATGGTGGGGCGCTCTGGCAGTACTTTACGGTACTTGGGGAATTGTGCGTTGCTCCCTACATAGGAGCTCGCGCTTTCCTCCCGACTTGAATTCACACTTGACTGACTCACAACTGCCATCCAGAGCACACGAGAAGTCCATCGAACCATCCACTCGGCAAGCCTGCAAGAAAGCACCACTCCTTTCTCAATACACAGTGTTTCGGGGAATTCACCCCTCATCAGTTGAGCTTGAGTAGGCTGAGGAAAATTGTGCCTGAAGAGCACCACTTACCGGTACAGTGTATAGAGCTCTCCAGGCACAAAAATCACCAGGGATACAAACTTACAGAGACGCTCCAATTTCAGGCAGTGTCCAAGTTCACTCCGAAGTCTTTCCAAGGGGTTTTGGTCCTGGTGCACTTGTTTGGTCCATGCGGCAGGGTAATTTTGGCACGATTACAATTCTGGTCTTGGTATGAAAGGGGCAGAATTGATTCTAGCGATACAAACGAAAAAGTAAAAATAATGAGTACTCATTCCACCAGGAGTAAAAGTGTATGGCAGTTAGATGCAGTACTTTCCCAAATTCAGGGTTGCCCGTCTACCTATTATTTTCAAACCCATGTGTGGTTCGAGAGCTTACTAATTTCGTAGCAACATCATAGAAAACAGCAACTGAGAAATAAACCTGAAAAGATGAGGAACTAAACCTAAAAACTCGTTTACCTTGTAGTTCACTTCTTCCCTTCAAGTCTTGAAAGACTTGAAGAGGAGAAGCGAACTACAATATTATACCAAAAGAGAAATGGCGTGTAGAGAATAGGCAACAAAAAGCGGCAATGGGAGTGATGGAGCTGTGCAATGAGTTGTCAATGGTTTCCAGGACGTATTCGGAAGTGCGCGGCCCCAGCCCCATGCCCTGCATCATCACTATCAAATGCCCAACTCACATCTTCCGCACATTGGTTATGAAATGGAAACATGGTGTAGATTGAAAATGGTTGGATAGTCGAGATGGCGAGTGGTAAGACGTTTTCGGTGTCTGTGATGCTGATAAAGGTGTTGTATCCATCTAGAAAATTCCAAACGCGGTTCCCCTAGTGCAAAAATGAAGATGAGCATCACCCACCCAGCCAGTTAGGGTCGGGTTCCACTGCGGCTCCGCTGCTCCACTGCTCGTCTTTCGCGGCTTGAAACATCATCATTACCATAGTGACCGCGCCTCGAGCTGGAGCAGCAAGGCCGCAGCTCACCGCGAGCTTTCGCTACGATTCTTGACGAAAAACTGCGCGGTACCGCAAATGGCGAGTATCAGTGGGACCGCGCTGCTCCGCTGCATGCAGCCAAGTGCCGTGGTGCAGCAGAGCTGCGGAGCCGCAGTGGAACCCAGTCAGTTACAGAGGCAGCAGCTAATAAGGAGGACTAGGTCCTTTGTACGCATTTCCTATAATGTAGACATGCATGAGCAAAATGTGAAACGATGATTGCAGGGCACACAACGAAAAGGAAAGGGGATTTGTTCAGAACACTGGAAAATTTGAAACAATTTTTACAATTATGAATAATCTATGTGGAGATATCAATTTAAATAATTTAAAAAGGAAAGGGACATATGTATACAAGTTAAGAGTAACTGTCCATCACTGACACTATTATTATACAGTCAGGAACTGCAAATAGCTAGGCACAAGACTGAGAGAGTACTGAGGCGTTCGAACACCTGGCACCTAGCCCTAGCATATCTCCGAAGCGCTAACCAACAGCCTAACGGTGGGAGGTGAGTAGATCAGACCCACCACAAAGTGATCAAAGACCGAAAATCCCATTCACTGCTTCAATGCTTCTCTCGTGACATGCCTTGAGTTCCCAATTATCTGTGGGTTGCAGCACGGCTGGGGAAAAAAACATTCCGCTTCCAAGCAGGACTTAAAAACCTGGCACCCTACGCTTCTCAATGATGGTCTTAGACCATCCCATTATGCCTGCCTGCTGTTGTTAATAAAATTGGCAATAAAATCCTGGGTGGATCCCAGTTGTTCAAGATAATACATTAATAGCCCGACTGGTGTTTATGTACAAGTACCTGTAAATATAGCTCTGGCATCCTCTTATTGAGAACATCTCTTGCATTTGCCTCTTCTTTTTGCGTCTTCCTTCTCTCTAAATTGCTTTGCAGATGGCACACAATTTGTGTCAAGGCCTATAGTTTCTGAGAGACAGAGAGAAATCTTGATGGATCAAATCCTGGCAAAAATAGGAATAATGCCCAAAAGACCTAATGACGCAGATGAATTTAAAAATACACTGGTTGTTGGATATGACGTTGGAGCCGGAATACGGGGCTTTGTTGGTATGTACGTCAATAAGAAGGACAGGTGAGATCCAGAACTGCTCTAACGATTTGTCAAGAATGAATATTTAAAATGTATCAGCATTTTTCTTATCGCAATGAGGAGGACCAGCCATATTTAAAATAATTATATCAGCACTTTTCTTATCACAATGAGGAGGACCAGCCATATTTACAATATATCAGCACTTTTCTTATCGCAATGAGGAGGACCAGTCATATTTACAATGAAGTATCAACAGGTTTGACACAATACCTGTATGCACTATGTATGGCAACGTGTAGAGTTAACAATAGTTTTATAAGAGAGCATGTCTGAGAAAACCAGACAATGTATGCCAGTGGATCTCTCCGATTTCCTTCAAATTTTGCAGTTTTAGTTCCTTTGGGGTGTAGTTCGACTGTGCAGACTGAGAGCCCTTGAAAAGGTTTAATGGGCCCCACCACTACACTCCATTATTCACCCCAGTGCCTGTAGATATGTGAATTTTGTAGAGAGAAAAAAAAGAGCCCTAGGACTTCCGTTTCTACACATATTGCCAAAAACAACACCAAACAAAGTAAAAGTGTATACCAACAGGTATGTGTTAAGTCCGATGGAGTCATATGATGCCTCCGGTAATTCTAGGGCAGTTGACATTTTGGTAGTTCTCGGGCTTAATCATTAGAGTTTTATACTAAAAACAGGTGTATGAAGGAAGTCAGTCACCATGAATGTGTCGCTTTGCTGGTGGCGTGCTGTGGCAAGGTGTTGAGGTTGGCTGGAGAGTGGGGCTACAGGATGGTGGCTGATGAAGGATTGGGAGAATTTCAAAGTTCAAAGGACCAATGGGGGAAGCGAACTGCCTGAAAAGAGAACTATGCCAACCCACGAGGACTCGAACCCGGGACCTTGCTTGTCATGATCAATGCTCTAAGTATCTGAAGAGGAGGGGCCTGATGATTCATTCCCAGTGGTCTAAATATTGGTAGTACTTCAATTCATTTATTCACTTTGTGCTGCTTAGACCATGCACATCCGAAGTACGGGAATGGAGGTGTTAAGAAGTGGAAAGATAACGCTGCAGCGGAGCTGGATAGTTCTTACGGAAAGTTCAATAAATAGCGGAGTTACCTACGTAGCCAGGAGCTCATGAATATCCGCCAATCTCTGTTGACTATACTTTTTGCAGGTTTGAATTGGTTCAGACTATGCGTCCCGTTCGCGGTGAAATTTGTGGATATGGCATCCAATATGATATGGGCGGTAAGCAAACTTCATAAACACCATGTATGAAAATATATCGCAACCAAGAGAACAAACTGTGTGGCAACCATTCTTTTTTTAATAATAATAATAAAGGGTTTGCTCCCCACACCGGAGCTCGCGCTATTCCGCCGACTTTACTTGACACTTGACTGACTCACGACTGCCATCCAGAGCACACGAGAAGTCCATCGAACCTTCGACTCGGCAAACCTGCAAGAAGGCACCACACCCTGCTCCATACACAGTGTTTCGGGGAATTCATCCCTCACCAGTTGAGCTTGAGTAGGCTGAGGAAGATTGTGCCTGAAGAGCACCACTTATATAGAGCTCTCCAGGGACAAACATCACCAGGGATACAAACTTACAGAGACGCTCCGTTTCCAGCGCGACAAACACCTCGTGAACACCAGATAAGTGGTGCTCTTCAGACACAATCTTCCTCAGCCTACTCAAGCTCAACTGATGAGGGGTGAATTCCCCGAAACACTGTGTATTGAGCAGGGAGTGGTGCCTTCTTGCAGGTTTGCCGAGTCGAAGGTTCGATGGACTTCTCGTGTGCTCTGGATGGCAGTCGTGAGTTAGTCAAGTGTCAAGTAAAGTCGGCGGAATAGCGAGAGCTCCGGTGTGGAAAGCAAACCCTTTCTTACAAATCATCGCCGAAGTCGCAACCACTACTTAATAGAGAGGTTCTGCTACACGGAACTACGTACCAAACTCCGTGTCAACTGCAGTGAAGTTTGACACGAATTTTTCATACGTTGCGCTGGTTCTGCTGTACGTAGCATGCGCGTAGCATGCACGAACACCCCGCCACATGTACTCTGTACACTCAGTTTTCACACGGAGTCCAGTCCGTGTGAAGCGCGCTACACATGGAAAACGGTATTAAAAAAATCCATATGAAACTTGATCCCGTACCGCGGCGAGGTTTCCATACGTACTTTGGCACGTTTCACCGTGTGGCAGAACCTCACTACTAATAATAATAATAACAATAATAATAGTACGAAGTAGTGGTTGCGACTTCGGCGATGATTTGTAAGAAAGGTTTGCTCCCCACACCGGAGCTCGCGCTATTCCGCCGACTTCACTTGACACTTGACTGACTCACGACTGCCATCCAGAGCACACGAGAAGTCCATCGAACCTTCGACTCGGCAAACCTGCAAAAGGATGGCAGTCGTGAGTCAGTCAAGTGTCAAGTAAAGTCGGCGGAATAGCGCGAGCTCCGGTGTGGGGAGCAAACCTTTCTTAAAAATCATCGCCGAAGTCGCAACCACTACTTCGTACTGTTGTGCCCAGCGCGGGCTTGCGACTAGTTGGTTTGGAGGTGACAGCGTTGCGAATGACCGAGGGTCCTCGACGTCTGTCTCACCATCCAGGAGCGACACTGACTCACGCTGCTATCTGGTGTTCACGAGGTGTTTATCGCGCTGGAAGCGGAGCGTCTCTGTAAGTTTGTATCCCTGGTGATGTTTGTGCCTGGAGAGCACTATATAAGTGGTGCTCTTCAGGCACAATCTTCCTCAGCCTACTCAAGCTCAACTGATGAGGGGTGAATTCCCCGAAACACTGTGTATTGAGCAGGGAGTGGTGCTTTCTTGCAGGTTTGGATGGACTTCTCGTGTGCTCTGGATGGCAGTCGTGAGTCAGTCAAGTGTCAAGTAAAGTCGGCGGAATAGAGCGAGCTCCGGTGTGGGGAGCAAACCTTTCTAACAATAATAATACTAATAGTAATACCACAGCACGTGTACAAAGGCCAAAGAACAATGTACATGTAGAAGAATACTCTGAAATTAAAAGCCGAGTCCGCTTCTGTCTGCAGTCAACAAAAACTCATCCATAAAAATATCTGATCTCCATTTCGACTTGTCTGCAGCAAATGCTCGTGTTCCTTCTAGGTCGCTGGCATTCTTCAAAGGGATGTCGTGCCCTGTCAGGTCCTACATGATGGTGGTAGGGAGCGTAGCCGCGGGACGGCCCCTTCGTCCACGTGACCCCGCTTGAAAATGGCAGGACATCGCAAGGCAAGGGGGTGACTGCTCACTCATCCTCAGCACATGGCCAGTGAGGCTATGGCGTCGCTTGGCAACAAGCTCCGACAGTGGCTGCGAGCCACATCTGGAATATAGATCATCATTTGTAATCCTGTCTGGATATCGCACTCCCAACAGGTTTCTGAGCTGTTGGCGGTGAAAACAGTCCAGTCGCTGAAAGACTGCCTGGGGCACTCCCCAAGTCTTACAGTTGTAAAGGAGGACAGGCAGCACAAGCGAGCTGTACAGCTTGAGCCTGGACCTTTCTGACACATGCTTGCGCCGCTATCGTACGTCTGGGATTCTTTTATTGATGATTCATAACTACAATAGTTACAATCAGGTGTGAGATAATAATGTCATATGTAGATAATAATGTCATATGTAGATAATAATGTCATATGTAGAAGTGAAAGGAAAAAATGTTCAGAACCGGTTTCTTGTTACGATCTTCATTCTTCAAAATGAACATACGTAACAAAATGTCTTCATACGGAGCTTCTCTCGGGAGAATGAAGTTGAAGACACCACTGTAGCTGCTGCACTTATGTATTGCACACTCTTCGGACAATGAAGCACACCACTTGATTACTCGCCACAATGTATGTTGGACTCAGTATAAAGTCCATGCATACAGTCGTCCCTCTCTAATCCGGCACCTTTTGCAACGGCATTTTCTGCTGGATAAACAAGGGTGCTGGATTATAAAATCCTGCCCTCCAACCCGGCCCACCTACTAACGTACATGTTTGTGTCGTACGTCAAAACGTAGGGATTTTCTGTGTCAATCCAAGTACTTCGTGGAATGCATATCTATAACATACACTTGGGAATACAAGTGCATAGGATATTCCCAAGTGTATGTTACATGTGTTGTGTATGTTACAATGCTCCCTGACGGTATGCGATGTACAACTGCTGGATTAGAAAATCGAATTGTGTACAGTTTGAGTGATTTGTTGCAGAAAATCGCTGCTGGAGGCGGAATTCAAGTGCCGGATTAAAGCGTAGAAAATAAACTGAAAAAATCCGTTTTGCCAGAAAGTGTGCTGGTTTGCAAGGGTGCTGGATAAACAAGTGCCGGATTAGAGAGGGACCACTGTATATGATGTACCGCACCCTCTATATAAGTAGAGAATAATCACCGATGTCGTAGTGTTCATGGGAATATTAACACTGCTGCGCCAAAGTGTTTATAGTTTTTATAGACAGTGTTTATATTAGCATAAACACAAGACAGAGGTGTTTATTCTATTTATACCTAGCTTCGTTTTTGACCTGAAATACTGGTCCGAAATAGCTATTTTAGTATCCCAGTATACTATAGTATAGTATTATCAAGAGTTCCTAACCCCGGGTTAAGTACACTTCCTATCATGGGTGGGCAGCATTGCGTGTTACACACCTAAGATCAATCTTGAAACTGATTCAGCATCACCTGGTGATTGGGTGGTCAAGATAGGTGCTTGGGAATCTTATGGTTGCAGGTTCGATTCCTGCTGAAATTTCTTTCTTCTCTTCTATAATTATTATTTTGTTCTTTTTCAATTGGAGAGAAAATGTCGAAGTCCCTTGAAATTTGAAAAGTTACAACCTCTAAGTGGGTAATATAGCAAAATTATTATAGCCCAAGTTAAAGTGGTGAATATGGAGTGTTTCTTGTACAATTCGAGCCCAGGGCTCAACTGTACCTCACAAGTTTAGAACATCCACGAGTTCTGAAGTTGAGTATTGGAAGATTCTCTTTTCACACAACCAAATAATTGCACACTCTGCCAGCAAGGAACAAAGGAAAAAGGCCCCCGACTAAAGAGGGCTACAGGATAATATATGCACAAGGGTAGATCCACACCGTACAGTAAGAATGCACAAGAAGCGAAAGAAACAAATACCACGCGCGCAGCGTCAGGTTTCTGCGCACTACAGGCAGATCACGCAGTCCGCGGTGTGGACTGAAACTACACAAAGAAAAGTAAGTCTACAATGCACTATAACCTAAGCATCGGGCCATAGATCCATAGTGGCACCGCAATGAAACACGAGAAGGATCATGCATTCACGCAATACAGTTATGATGATCACAAGTGCAACCAGCAGCATGGATACAACGGGAATCACTACTAACGGCCATGAATGATAACATAGTCACACAGTAGAAAGAGGTGTCAGGTGGTTGAACAGCAGTAGTTTTGCCAACATGGAGATATATTCACATGAATTAGAGGGGGTTATTATGAGGGTCACACTGTGCATATACTGCTGACACAGCTGCATAATGCCGTGTAATTTTTTTTTTTAATTTTACTATTATTTTTTTTGGCAACGCAGATGATGATGATTATGAGGGTGATGGGCTGAGCCCAGTTCTGTTCGTTTCCTACCTGGAAGCAGCACTGAGGGAGACTCGAAGCAAACTACCACCACGGCCAGTCACTGATGCAGCAATACCACAGGAAACAGGATATGCCGATGACATTTCCATCTATTCGACTGAGCGACAATGGCTTGCAAACTCCCTACCCGTGACAGCCTGGGTGACTGGTCACTCAACGTTAACAGCAGCAAAACAGAGTGGCTTCACATCTCTGCCTCCACCACCGATTGGCGAAGATCCAAGCAACTTGGCTCTCTCTTGGGGAAAGAGGAGGACTTGAGCCGACGAATGGACCAAGTATCAACATCATATGGCCGCATGTATTTGCTCTGGATATGACATCAACTTGAATCCGAGGAAACCAGGCTTCGTCTCTACAATGCCATCGTCCTACCAACACTGTTATACAACTGCGAAACCTGGGGACTGACGGAGGCTGCACTGGAGAAGCTGAACGCAGATGATGATGATTATGAGGGTGATGGGCTGAGCCCAGTTCTGTTCGTTTCCTACCTGGAAGCAGCACTGAGGGAGACTCGAAGCAAACTACCACCACGGCCAGTCACTGATGCAGCAATACCACATGA